TGATACCACCAAAATCTGAATATCAAATTTTATAATTTGCTCTCATATCATTAATCTCCAATACACTCTAGTTTACAAGATCATGATTATTTCTAAAATCTAAATCAATCTCAAAATGGCTAACTTTCTAACTCGTCACTTCCCGTGGTTTACCCGTCCTCGGTGTCACTTCCTAAAATGGTGGACAAGGAAAACTATGAGATAAACTCAGTAAGTAAAATATGGAGTGCCCTTATTAAACGTATAGCATGCCAACAAGTGTAATCACGAAAAACGGGTACAGTACGGGAACAAAATAGACATCTCCTCTATAGGTCACGGCCAGTGTATAATCCCCACTAGCAGGGCCACTATTTGCTGGTGTATAACCCCCACTAGCTGGGTTGAACGAACCGACTCTATCACTACATGTCGACATGTGCTAGCGTTTATAACCTCCCCCACTAGCGAGGTCACGAATAACATGACCACATCGGAGACAAAACAAGCAGAAGTTAACAGAACAATCATAATTCACCAATCACTTTCAAATCATCAGGACAATCAATTAAACTTTCAAGTAGGCATGCTCAATTTAATGAAAAGCATAAACATTTCACTTCAAATCAGTCATGCTCATGTAAAACGGGTTTAGTTCCCCCACCACTTCAAAAACAAATCAAAACATGCTTTTAAAAGCTGTATGGGCATTACCATAAATTTACTTACCTCACTCACATAAAACCGAGCACCCAATTCACGTACTAACTGACAGAACGAACGAGAACCTAATCAAAATATCCACGGATTAATTACCGTACTATCACACATTTACACTGAAATCATCATTAGGATCATTCCTAATCACAATGCCATTTCCATCAATCTCCACAATATCAAATATCTCCAAATTCATTCTTATATCACAAACTAATCATTTAAATCCCCGTTAATTGTTGGCCCTTGGTGTGTGAACAGTGTTGGTGAACAGTACCCCCGGCGTGAACAGTAACTCCAACTTCCAAAAATTGGCCAAAACACTAGCTAATCTCACGGGATTTTCTCCAAAAATCACACAGCAATCAATTAACACTCAATCACATAAATCTCACTTGAATCAATGCTCAAATTTCATCCTAAAGCTACCGGAATTTCCCCATTTTTCCAACACAATTCGGACAACACAGCCAGCAAACTAAATGGACAATTTAAGCCTTAAAAGGCTGTCACATACCATAATTCTCCAGCTGTAGAAACCGGAGCTGCAGGGAGAAGAAGAGGCCGGCAGCAAGTTGTAGGGGAACTCACGGACTAGCCAAAAATTGGAGAACCAAAGTTAACCCAAGCTAAATCAAGCTAAAAGGATGAAATCATGGCTGTTCTTACCGAAAAATATGCCCAGAAATCACCCACAATCAAGAGCAGCCGGCGGACAAGGGAGGAAGGACAGAGCAGATCCGGAAGCTTCCTGCAGCGGGGGAGATTTCTGGGTTCCAAATCAGGTTCTTGGACAAGAAAATAAGGGAAAATCATCAAGCTTTACCGGTTTTTCAAGGGAGGAAGTCGCCGGCAGCTTGGTGGGGGATTTCGGGCTGCAGCGGGAAGAAAGAAGAAGAGCAGAACACGCGGGCTGGGAAGAAGAAAAGAAAGAAAGAAAAAGGAGAAAAAGAAAAGAAGCCATCCTTATCCAAAACTCTTACACTTTTAAGTCCCTCAGCTTTCAAAATATTCATATGAGGCCCCAAAACAATCTTTTCTCACAATCAAGTCCCTAACTCACACTTATATATTCTAGAAAATTTTGGGGTATCACAAAGCTAATATTAGTATATAGCAATAACAAACACTTGATTAATTATATAGCAATAAGATATAGGTAATGAAATTAATGCGTATTGGTTTTGAATTCTAATTTACATTTAGAAACTGAAATATCATTTTATTAAATATTGATATCTAAATTTAAAAATTCATTATATATTCTAATATAATTAATTTCTAAATCTAAAGAGGTTAGTGCATATCAGTCCCAATTTTAAAAAATAACAAGAGTCCGAACCTATATTTAAAAATTGAAATATCATTTTATTAAATGTTAATATCTAAATTTGGAAATTCATTATATATTCTAATATAACAACATTTAAGAAGATAATTTTTCAAATTTTAAATTGAGTTTTAATTAAATAAAATAATATAATTTAAGGTTGAGATTTCAATTATTTTTTAAAGTCGTTATTGATATGTACTTTTCTCAAATTTAAATATCAACATTTAATAAGATAACATTTTAAATTTTGAATTGAGTTTTAATTAAATAAACCGATGTTAATTAAGGTTATAATTCTAATTATTTTTAGGAGTTGAGATTAATATGCACTTTTTTTATAGCTAATTCTATAGTTAACATGCCATGTGTAAGATTTTAGGCCT